CTATGATTTCATGCAACTGTTGTATCATAATATACTGCAACCACATTAAAAAATCGTGTTAAAGGCATTTGTTTGACATAATTTTTTAGATGTATAATCTTTTCATTCTAAAAAACAATTACAAAAAAGAAAATTTTGAAAAAACGCCTTAGAAAGTATTTTCCTAGCCTAATTAATATAAGCTGTCAATTTTAGAATATGGTTAGATAGAGGCCTCATAAGGATTTTTTTATTTCCAAAATTTTTATATAGTGTTATTATTATTAGATTAACAATGCTAAAAAAAAAAAAGTGATTTTGAATTTGTCAAGGCCTAGATCTTGAAATTCACCAAACGGACGGTCGAGATTCTCTGTTGGAGGGTACTAATTTTGACCATATCTAGGGGTGCGAATTGAAATTGTTTTTTCTATAAGATTGATTATGAGGATCAAGAGAATGTGTGCGCAAAATTTGGGGCTACACATGCCAAAAACATGGTTTCCTAGAAGTGTAGTTGCATTATACTATGATACAACCGTTACATGAAATCATTGCCCATATATATATATATATATATATATATGAAAGATACTGCAAAATGCCTATAGGCAAAAATGAACAGTGATTTCGCCTACCCTCATCACTGTTCAAAGTTCATCGTACGGTCACGATTGTCCGATAGTGTTTCTTTTTTAATTTTTTTTCTACAAATCAAAATGACCTAAAATTTAGAACTGTGTTCAAATAGGCGAATCTACGAAAAATATCAAAAAAATATTTTACATGAAAAACATTGACCAAAATATCCCCAAAACGTTTCGTAGGTATTTTGGTCAATTTTATTTTTGTGAATTATTTTTTAATATTTTTATTCGGTGCGTCTGACTAAGATGTACTTACGCTTCAAATTTCAAGTCATTTCGTTTTGTAGAAAAAAATAAAAAATAAAACATTATCGAACAATCGTGACCGTGCAATGAACTTTGAATAGTGATGAGGCTACTGTCCATTTTCGCCTATAAGCATTGAGAAGACTTATATATATATATATATATATGAAGATGCTAGGGTGAGCCCATTGGCTCTTGGAACAGTGTAAGCTAAGGTGAGCCCATGGGCTCATGGAACAGTGTAAATCCAACGGCCTAGATTGAATTTGAGCCGATCTGACGATCATGACTGTATATTGGTAATATAATTTTAATATTTTTTATATAAATAAAAATAGCATGAAATTTGGAGCATAAATTCTTCTTATCAAGGCGCCCATAATAAAAATATTAAAAAAAATAATTCACAAAAAATAGATTGATAAAAATATACCTGAAACATTTCAAGGGAATACAATTGTGATTATTGGATCGGTCCAGATTTAATCTAGGCCATTGGGCTTACACTGGTCCATGAGCCCATGAGCTGATATGAGCTTTTTCTATATATAGAGCATTAAATGCTATTAGTGTGCCTATGGGTGATGTCACATCCCATATTGATGATGTCACACCTTTTTTTAATAATAAAAAAAACCTTTACTAAAAAAATTCTTCATGTGTAAATTTTAGAGTGCTCACACTATAGAGTATTTTATAATTGTACTCGACAAATTTTAAACACTAATATGCCCTTGTTTTATACATGGATCATTTTTTTTATTAAGAGCATTTTTTGTCATTAGGAAGGGTGTGGCATCACCACATCAATCACACTAGTGGAAAATTAATGCTATATATGGGTGATATCACACCCCATGCGGTTGATATAACACATAAGTACATCCAGCACATTAGTGGAATTTAATGCTATATTTGGATGATGTAACACCCCTCCTAATGACCGAAAATACCCTAACTAAAAAATATCTTATTATAAAACAATGGTGTTTAAGTGTTCAAACTTTGTTGAGTACAATTTTATAGTGTAAGCACCTAACATATATAAAAAGAGATCATTGGTGAGAGGAAAAAAAATGGTTTTTAGTAATATTAAGGAAGGACCAAGAATAGATTGATTATGTCTCAATGAAGCGTGTGTCGAAAGAGGACAGTGCCCAAATCCTCTTAATTGAAAGGGAGGTAGAAATGAAAAGCAAAAAAGAATGCCTACCTTCTCTCTGGTGTTCTTATCAATAAATGGGTAGATAACTTTCCAGGCAGTCCAGAAGATGTAAGGCACATGGATCAGGAAGACCTTGCCCAGCCGTTCTGGGTAATAATCCTGTAAGATTTAGAATTAAAACAGCCTTGATTAACCATCTTCACAAAAGCTCTTCAGTTTTATTCTCACACAGTAACATCAGAGTCTAGGGATTCTTTCCTTATCTAATTGAAATTTGCAGCTCAATATATGAGAGAGAGAGGAAACAAGAATGATGAATATGGGAAAACCAAAAAACAATTATTTGATTACCACATTCCCCATATTAGTAAAATAATTTTTGATTCTTATTAAAATTTTGGATATACTAAGAAACTATTGGGATAAGTTTAGGGCTGAGAATTTTCCGGATTGGGTCTAATTCCACCTAGATCTGGATCCAAATCCAAAAAGTATACATAGGATCCTGATCTGGATCCGGATCTAATAGGATCCAAAATGTTTGGATCTGGATTCAGATATGAAAACTAGATCTGAATCATGATCTGGATCTGATCAGTTCCACAATCCTATCCAAAATGCGGATTAGGTCTTTAAAATTTAAAAATATATGCATTATGTAAATAAATAAATCCTGTCAACATCAACACCAAGGCTGATAAAAAGTCCACATAAATTTGCAGATGAAATGGGAAATGAACTACTTTCCTCTAATTGGACTGATGTAGCCATGAGAAGCTTGAAAGTATGAAACAAGAGAGATCACAATGAAAACAGAACAAACCTGCATTATACTGAGAGCTGCAACATATCCACGGATATCAAAATTTGCATAGCCCCATCCTTTGTGGTCTGCAATAATGACAAACTTTTCCTGCCCTTCCGGAATGCTGCATAGAAGAAAAATAGAGTAAATAGAAGTGAACAAGCAAAACAGAACACGTTGTGAATGTTTAGGGCGTGTATATTTCCACGTCAAAAAATTTTCTCATGTGGTTAGGTATGATAATATTTTCACACCAATTAATTGCCAATTGATATGAAAAGATGTATTTGGACCAATTAATATAAAAATATTGTCACACCTAGTCACATGAATGAAGTTTTCACGTGAAAGTATTTCCCAAGAATTATTTTCACTCGAAACAAACCTGCCCTTAGAAATACATGAAGTACCTGGCACACAACTTGTCGAGAGAATAGACTACAAATCCTGTAGTGAGAATAAGGAGCAAGGTCAAATACTAAAACAGGTGTAATCAATTTGGAGTCTTTATAATAGTCAGAAAATCATATCAGGTGAAATGAAACATTTTTGTATATATGAAATTATAAAGGGAAAAAGTTTATATAAGGGTGAGGCCCTAACAATCAAATTAAGGCGCACCTCAAAACATTTATTAAAAAAGCTTGTTTCGATGCCCAAATATCCTCAAATGGATCATCTTGACCTTAAGATTTATGGACACGAGAAAAAAATAGATTTTAAGTATTGGAAATTGTGCATCTTGTAATGCATTTTGTGGACCGTATATTTTCAAGACTATAAAGTGTTTATAGATCTGATCGATCTACATTATTTTTTAAGCTATAAATTTTATAATTAGATATGAAAAAAAAAACTCAGGCTATCACAAAAATTTCCACTACTGAAATAACATCTTTCAACACTATTTGATGATGCGCCTTCCTTTGACTATTTAGGACCTCAGCCTTATACAAACCACACCCAATTATAAATAGCTTAAATCATTGAAATGTTCCACTTTTTATCCTTGTAAGAAATAAATTATAATCCAGCAAGCCATGAATTACAAAAAAATCAGTATAAGAGATAAAAAATGATTGCATCTGCAGTTTGATATTGGAAATAAATTCCAGCATATTTAAACAATGCAATAAGATTAAATATGATTGCATCTTTCAACAGTAGCTTTTGTGTGAGTATGAGCCCTTCTCATGCAAAGCAAATCTTAATTATTTGGAGTAAATTGGATATAGATCATTAAAAAAAAATGAAAATATATCTGTACACCTTCTTTTAAGGTTTCATTTTTTTCAACAGACCCAAGGTTTGAAAACATATATGGTATTATAAAGATCTCACGTAGTATATCTTTTAACCGTCAGACAACTTTTACATATTTTGACCACACTTTTTTAACCCAAACAAAAACATTTCATAAAACCATCCCAAAGCCATTCTGATAAATCTCTCAAAAAAACATTCAAAACCAAAATTGCAAAAACACTACTTACGCTTAAACTCATCGAGATCTCTGTGAGAATAATTGTGTTTACAGGGAAATGCGACTCCTATGGGGCGTCCTTTCTTGTCCCTTCCTTGCATATAAAGCTTTTCTTGTGCGAGTTCATTCTGAATATATGTCTCAGAGGTGTAACCCATTGCATGCCTCCATTTTAAGTATTTTAGGAACATCATAGATGCCTTTTCGACATCTAAATCACGAGCACGCAGAAATCTTCTGAGCATAAGATTGTCAACATCCTGCATGAATATGCTAGTTTAGAGCATAGTGAACAAGTCTATGGTTAAAACATCATTTTCTCAAAAAATCTCTGATTTTTTGAAATCTTTTAAGAACTCCAATTTTTCAAATGATCTTAACAAAATCACTTTTTTTTAATCGAACTGATATAAATCTGTACTTTATATTTTTTTTTAGAAAAAAAAAACTTTTCAAAAAAGTCTCCTTCCATATAATTTTATTGAAACTTTTCTTCTCTTTGTTGATTTTGTAACTAAAGTTTTGATTTGGAGATAAAAGCATTAAAAGTAAGACTAAATTAAGAATATTGATTTAACGAAAAATTCCAACAAATTTTTTTTAAAAAGAGTATATTAAAATAACACAAGTAATATATTCCCAAAAAAAAATTCTATCAACAGTATAGCTTAAAAATATAGGTAGAGTAGGAGGAAAAGTAAACTAATGAAAAATCTAAACTCAATGAAAAATCTTCTTTTTCTCTAACCCAGAGCATCAATATAAAGAGCATGAGAGACTAGCACTAAAAGTTTAGGTCCCTAAGAATTCAGGGTGAGATTTGCATATTTTGATTTGCCTAAGCATGTTATTGTTTTTCTCCTTCATACTGAAGTTTGATTAATTCCACATTTTCAATCTTTTTTATTATTTCAATGGTGTAAAACAAAGCATTTTCAATGGACCACTATTTTATATTTTTGGGTTTTCTATTTTAGTTAACTGCAATCCTATATTTAGGGTCATTTGTGTTTTTCTCTTCTAACAATAATTCTATATATTGGAATACATTTCTTTTTATGTGCTAATGCAGTTCTGGTGTTTAGTATAGTTATTTCACCATATGCTCCGAATAAGTCTATCATATGTTTTGTGTCGTCACAATAGAGTAGGCCTTCTTGTCGTATTTATTGAAAATTTAGACAAAAATTTGTTAAGTATTACCTTAATAATACTAGGCAAGGAAATAAAATTATAGTTCAATAAAGGAAAGAAAATTATAGTTCCATAGCTTTTAATATATCCTCTGAATAAGTACAAATCATAATCTTATCCTATGTCATCCTTACATATCCGATTTTTCACTTCGTTTTTTTTAATCAAATCCTAAATATTCATGATACTTTAACTTAACTAATTTTTGACAATCCGGATTTTTTACTCGATATTTGCCTCTGGCTTTTTGGAACCAAATCAATTTATTACTGCTATTTTGATTTGCTATTATTAGGGGTGGCAATCAGGTTGGGTTGGTGGGTCCAAGTACATGACCATGTTTTGGACCTGATTCCAGTTCAGCATGGATCCTATTGGGTTGGGTCGAGTATGGCTGGGTTCGACTGAACCGAACCATATATACTAAGGTATTTGTTATTTATAGTTTCTAGACCTAAGTCTGGATTGGGTTCGGGTCCCGATTGAGTCTAGGTCCAATTCACTTGGATCGACACGGATCCGAGTCAGAGTATAATCGAGCCTGGTCAGGTTCAGGTCGACCTGACCACCCGTTAAGTCCCCTAGGCTATATATTGTTATTCGTCGACTTGCTCACTATTAGCGTTGTTATATTCGTTTCACTTCGGTCAAAGAGGCCAAAATCTTCAAATTTTAGGCCTAGACCGAAGTGAAGCGAAGTTCTACCACTTCGGTTAGCCTCTCTGGCTGAAGCAAAAAAATATCTATATAAAAGTATTTTTTTATTTTTATTTTTAATTTTATATAATAAAATTTTAATTTATTTATATTAAATGGAAAAAAATCCAAAGTTTTACTCTAAATCAGCTGAAACACCGAATTATTTCATTTTTCTCACTAAACCAAATAATATGGTTTAGATAAAGGGCAAAAAAATGGCAATATAGAGATGGACTATGGGATTCATTTCTTATTGGGTTTTCATTTCTTTATATTCATTCTGTAATTGAATGGAAGATATTAATAAGAGAAAGGGATCATAAAATTGCATAATCCAATCAAATAAAAAGTCAGAAACAAAATCATCCAATCTTTGGATCAAAGAACAACATAAGGGAAGAATTTGAGGGGACACAAAAAAGAAAACCAAAAAACATATAAGATTTAGACGACACACAAAAAAGAAAAGCAAAAAACATATAAGCGTTTGAGGATTCGTCTTAAGCAGTTAATTAGAATGTAATGTAAAGAGTTTTTACAGTGACATTTCACGATTATTGCCAAGTGTTCTTCAATAGTAGTATGCATAATTCCAGCATTTGGAACAAGAATCTACACCGTAATTTTTTCAATCTAATAAAAGGCACCAATGTTAAAAAAATCGACTCAGCCAAGGTACTTGGACCCTGGCCGAGGTGAGTCACTCGGCTGAGTTCAGCTCAATTTTTATTTTATGAAAATGAATATATATATATATATATATATATATATATATAGTAATAATCCTGTGATCTATATATATAGGAAAATGATCCAGTGAGCTAGTGGGTTTTCAAGTAAAATTGAGCCCAACAGCCTAGATTGAATCTATACTGATCTGACGATCACTGATGCCCGATAGTGTTTGAATTTAAATTTTTTTTATGTACGAGGATATTACAAAATGCCTACAAACAAAAATAAACAAAAATAAACAGTGATTTTGCCTACTCTTGTTACTATTTAAACTTCATCGCACAGTACATTTGTCCTTTAGTGTTTTATTTTTTATTTTTTATTTTACTAATCAGAATGATTTGAAATTTAGAACGTGTGTACATCTTAGTCAGACGGACCTAATAAAAATATAAAAAAAATAGTTCACAAAATATATGTTTAGCCTAAAAGAGAAATGATGTTTTGTTCTCTTTATTAGGATGTTGCGGTCATCAACGTTGGCATACACTTTGGAAATTACTTATATTTGTTGATCTTTTAATACACACGAGAGTTGGTGAGAAGAAAAAAAATACTTCATGAGATTGTTGGGAAAAAAAAAAACTCATTAGGGATTCAAAGAAAAAAAAGAAATTGATTTATAAAAAGTTTAGCCATATTATGAGTGTCTAATTGGAAAAAACATGTTGGGTTGAGAGATATAATAAGCACTCGGCTTCTCATAAATCTTGATGGGGCAGCCATTATTTAAGAAAATAAATAAAAAAATATACAACTTCCAAAAAAATTTAAAAACCTCTAACAACATTAGAGAGAACCGACCAACAAAACCGGCCGGTTTATCAAAGAGCTGGTACGGATCGGTATGTTCAAAGAGAGGAATGACCGGTCCCCGATATATCACTAGACTAGATTTAAAATGGTCAAGATAATTCCCGATCCAGATCTAACAACTCTGATTCAAATGGAAAAAAGGAAGTACCTTAGCGGTTGGATCTTTAGTCTCCACCAAGGCCCTTAGCAATCCCACTTTCTTCTTCTCCATCTCATCCCTTCCATCACTCGTTTCAGAGTCTCCAACAGAGTTCTCCATGTCCATCCCAGCTCCAAGCTCTGCAAAAACCTAGTCTCCCAAAAAAATCCTAATTCTAAACAAAAAGCCAATTCCTCCAATTCTCTACACAAAAACTAGTACCTGAACAACCCTAGTTCACCGCAAAATGCCGAACCTCTGCAAAATGTCCAATTCTTTGCACAATGCTCAGCTCTCTGCTAAGAGATAGTAGCTCAAAACACCTGATTATCTGCAATGTGAATTTCTACAGGGAAAAACAAGCCCCTGGAAAACCCATACTCCCCACTAAAACTAAGTTCTCTGCTCAAAACACAGGATTCCCCGTCTCAGAACACAAACTCTATGTGAATAAACCCTAATTCTCTGCAAAGATCACAGAGAGGCCATGGCTTAAAAGGAGTGGAAAGGGAGGAAATGAAGTCATGCCAGAAAAAACAGGCATTAATAATGCATTCCTCAACAGTCATGGCGAAGTTGTGTCCAGTAGGGGCTATAGAGACTAGAGAGAGAAGCAATTAAGAAACGCAAGCAAGCCATTTTCGCAGCACTTAAATGTCCTATTTTTTAATAGAAAATGGTTTGATAGGGCTGCAACCTCACCTCATAGGCCACCAAAAATTACAATTTAAGTATCGGAAAACTTTTCCATCAATCGTCTCGCCTCGAACATGATGGTTGTGAAATCAAATAGAATTTTTTAAAAATACTTTATATTATAATAAATTATTTAGACTGTCAGTTTTGCAGTGAAAATAGGCATTGATCTGGATGGTTTGGTACTATTTTATGAGCTTTAAATTTTATCTGGATAATTTGTACTATTTTATCAGCTTTAAATTTTATCTGGATAATTTGTATTATTTTATGAGCTCCAAATTTTACTGTACATATTGAAAGTTGATTTTAAAGTTACAGTGGAGATTTTTGTTCTCAAAAGTACTTTATCGATAGGATTTGAGGTGAGGTTTTATTGTGTTTTATAGAGCCTAGGCTTTATGGAATACTCTTAAATGGAAGAAGATGCACCTCAAAAATTCATAAAAAAATAAAATAAAAAAGGTAGTTTTAATGTTGAAAACCTCCTTATTAATCACCTCGACATTGAGATACATGATCATGAAAAATAAAAAGATTTTAAATGTAAAAAATAATACATTTTACAACATACTATCTACGCTGTTCATTTTTAAAAATTTCATATATTTATAGATCTATTTAATTTTAACTATTTTTAAAATTTAAAATTAAAATTTTATTATCAAATATACAAATAAATTTTAAAATAATCTAAAACACAGTTTCCACCAAAATTACATACTATGATAAAACTTAGTTGTACACTTTACTCTATAGCTGCATATGCATCTGTATGCCAATGGTACCCATATTTAAATGAAGTAGTCAAGGTCCAGATCTTGATTGATCCCCTTAAAGGTATCTGTCCACATCATGTGACACTTGTCCAAACAGCCAAGCGTTGGTCTTATATATATATTTTAAGAGGGGTTATTATTTTATAAATATAATTAAATAAAATGAAATTAAATAAAAATAACTTAAATATCTGTAAATTTATTTTAATTTTATTATTTTTATTGAATTCTGCTTATAAAAGTAAAGCTGTACACCATGTTTTATGTTACTATAATTTTTAAACAAAAAATAAAATTCAATTCGGGCTCTTGGATTAAGGCTGGTTTAATTTGAACCGTTGACCTTTTTAAGCGTCTACCTCAGGTGGACGTGATCATTATTATTATAAAAAGATAGATGCGGTTTCTATGAGGATGCAACGGTAAACAATCCAATTAAAGCGCACCTTAAAATTTTATCATATAAATTTGTTATAAAAATTCTTGATATTATCTTAAAATCTATTTTTATATCTAATTAAAAAATTTAAAATTTTAAAAATAATTAAAATCAAATAGATTTATAAATATATAAAAATCTTGAAAATAAACGGTCTAGATATTGTGTTGCAAGATGTATTACTTTCGAGACTCAAAAACTTATTCTTTTTCATATTCATATATCTCAATGTCGAGATGATCGATTAGAGGGTTTATTCAACATTAAAACAGCATTTTCGTTCGATTTTGAAGTGCATCTGTGATTTTACATTTTAAGGGTGCAACCTTACATAAACTTTTCCCTTATAAACAATATGAAAAAGGTTAAAACTCTGCACAGATATCACTTAAAGGTAAAAAAGATTATAAATTACATTTGAGACTATGCATTTAAATTTTTATATCAATCTCATACATCTTAAAAAATGTCAAAAAATTCTCAAATTGCCATTATTTGGTGCTAGAAAGTTAATAAAATTAGAGTATTTTGATAATTTTATCGCCAATGAGTACTTATATTATTCAATGAAGCTTCCATGAAGATAAATTACCAAAGTACCACGGCTTACCAATACCGGATTATGAGAATTTTTAATTTTACAATATTTTTTGAGGATGTACTTGATTGATATAGAAATTTAAAGTCTACCATCAAATAAAATTTGTAATCTTTTTACCCTTTTTAGTAATATTGTAAGGGGTTTTAACACCTTTTTTTTATGTTTTTCCTTATTATTGTTATATTAACGTTATTCTATTATTATTATTAGCTTATATATAGGGTATGGTTTGCATAAGGTTGTAACCTTGTACAATCAAAATATGGTGTACTACCAAATTTTATCATAAAAGAGAATCCTAGTGTCAAAAATTCTTAAGATGACATGAGAATCCAGTTTATCTCTAATTACAAAATTTTAGATTCGAAAAAGCGTTTAAATCAAATAGATTTATACATATATGAAAATCTTGAAAATAGACAATCCAAATAATCTGTTGCAAGATGCATTATTTTTTGGGCTCGAAATTATTTATTTATTTATATGTCTTGATGTTAAGATGAGCAATTAAAGGGTTTTTCAACTCCAAAAGACCTTTTAACGATGAATTTTTTAAATACACCTTAATTCTACATTTTAAGGTGTGACCTTATATAAACATTTTTCTTATATTAAAGAGAGATACCCCAATATCCAAATTGCCGATATACTGACGAAGGAAATTTATTTGATGGGCCATGTGTTCCTTGAGAATTTAAGAACGACGGAAAAAAAAAGGGGACCTGACCAAAACTTGGTGTAAAAACTATTGTTTTTTAATTTTAAATCATGAATCAAATCATTATCTTCATTTTTAGTTTTTTTTCGATTAATTGGGTCAAGAATCAATTGTGGATTTAAAAAGTTTTAAAAAATATAGTATTTAATGCGCCATGTCTTTTAAAGAATCAGCTGAGCTGACTTTTTGTGTCCCAAGCAATGGTTTAAAAACCGGATCGGTGACCCGGATCGGGCTTTTCAAAAACCGATCCGGATCGGCGAATCGGCGATCCGGATCGGAATCGGGTGAATCGGTCAGAATAAAGCTTCAAAAAAATCCGAAAAAATTATTAAAATTCATTATAAATATTGGTTTTTAGGAATTCAATAAAAAATGAGGGTACTCCATTAAGAATTTTCATGTTTTTGAATGAATATGCGAATGTTGATATGTTCTTTCCCTGCATGAACCGCCATTCAACATTTAATTTACAGTGTTTCGTGCTCATCCCTACAC